TCGTGAAATGCTCCAATCAGAGCTACATGGACAATCTATCCAAGCGTGTTCTCGCATCGAAGATCATCGGTGACAGGATCCTCAAGCAACAGCAGGCGAGAGCGGCCGCATCACGGGAACAACGAATTCAAAGGTTCGTTCCTGGCATGCTGGTATGTGTCTGGAGGTGCGGTAAGATGGCGAACCACCATGCCCTGGAGGAGAAACACGGAGTTGATCGTGGACGATGGTTCGGACCTGGTACCGTGCTAGGTGTGCAGACTGCGCGGGCTAATGGGGAGAGTCCCCAACCAGCTCGAAAAGTGTGGGTTGTTATGGGAGCCAGATTGTGGCGATGTGCCCCTGAACAACTACGCGCCGCCAGCCCACGAGAAGAGGAGATCTTCACCGAGGAAGACGGAACACCCTGGACGTTCGTGGAGGCGCTCAATCACCTCAATAAGGGAGAAGTGATCGGCGTGGACAAGGAGGACGTACCGATGCACGAGGAGACTTACACTCCCGAGGCGACAGCGAGGGCTCCAGACGACAGCGATCTCAAGGACTACTGGACTGAAGAAGAATTCGAAGGCCGAAGAGCGTATGTTCGTGTGCATCTTCGGAACCGGACCACACTGTTTGCCCCGGAGGGATACAAGGCCTCGATCGAAGGGACGACGATGGAAAGGGTCACGGTAGCTAAGTTCGAGGACGAGTCGATGGAAACCGTCAGGGACGAAAACTGGAAGGCACACCGACAAACGCAGAGATCCTTGAACGGACGCTGGACTGGGAAAACGTATTTCTTCCCTAGGCAACAAGACACAAGTGACGGGAAAGATGCGCCGGTAGCGGCCGGAGGAGAAAACCCTCTCGATACGTTTACACCATCAGGTGGAGCAACGGGCTCGGGGGCCATGCCTCTGAACCGTTCCGATTCTCCAGGACCTGTCCATGACGGGGACACGACCGAAGCTGTTCGAGTGGCAGTGGGAGACCGAGATGATCCGGACCTGATGGTGGACACCGAGATGGACCCGCCTCTCGTCACGAATCAGGAAAAGTTGCTAAACATGAACCGGCAGGCCGAATCTGGGAAAAGAAAGAAGCAGGCCGACCTGTTCGAAAAAGACAAAAAGACGAATACGCATGAAGACACCGTTCGGACCGTCACTCAGAGCGTACGGCACGTTCTTTGATGACAAGGCTGCGGACTGGGACCAGCTGGACTGGAATAATTTCGACCTGAGCGCCAGCGACAGAGCTGGCAGAGGACATCTCGATACCCGTCGGAACGGAGTTTATCGAAGTGGCCTTTGAAGCAGCTGACGGAGCAGCTCTCGGGAAACTCTGTAGGCAGCCCGAACGATACGTGAGCAAGGCCCTAAAGAAAGGCAGAACAGAGGCCAGCGTCAAGCACATGACGAGCGAGCAGAAGGTTCTGATGAAGGCGGCAAAGCTAGTCGAGGTGCGCGACTGGATCGCGAACGACGTGCTGGAGAGACTTCCGCCACATCTCAAGCCTAAGCCCGAGGAAGTGCTGAAGACCAGATGGGTGCTCACCTGGAAGAAGGATGAAGCGACTGGAAGCAGCCGAGCCAAGGCCAGACTCGTTGTTCTAAGATACCAAGATCCCAGACTGGGTGAGGAGCCGGTGGCATCCCCCACGATGACGAGACGGGCAAGGAACATGATCTTCCAGCTCGCCGCCATGAAGGCCTGGAGGCTCAAGAAGGGCGACGTCAAGGCAGCTTTCCTACAAGGCAAGGGGCTACCAGAAGACAAGCCGGTATTCATCGCAGCCAACGAGGAGCTCGCAAAGGAACTCGGATTACCTATGGGTGCTCTGGTAAGATTGCGAAAAGCAGTATATGGCCTATGTCAAGCACCAAAGTCTTGGTACGAGAGTGTGGACGCACTAATGGAGCAGCTCGGAGGACAACGATGCGTATCGGACCCCTGTGTATGGGTATTTAGCGACAAAGATGGAGTCTTTGGGATCGTAGGAACGCATGTGGACGACTTCCTGATCACGGGTGACAACAGCAAGCGCTGGATAGAAATCGAAACGAAGCTTCAGAAAGCATTCAGATGGACACCCTGGGAGGAAGAAGAGTTCAAGCAGACCGGACTCTGGGTCAATCAGGACACGTCTGGACGAATTACGATCCACCAGAAGGAGTTCATCGACAACATCAAGGAGATTCCCATTGCCAACGAACGGCGGAAGCAGCGAAACGAGAAGCTTACGGAGAGCGAGATGACTCACCTACGAGGAGCTCTTGGGGAAATCCAATGAGTAGCGACTCAAACCCTACCGCGTTATCAAGCCCAATGCTCGATTTTCCAGAGTTGCGGACCAACAGCTACGGTGGAAACGCTCTTTGGGATCAATAAGCTCATCAGGCAAATAAAGCTCGACCCGAACTTCAAACTGACCTTTGAACCGTTTGAAGGGAAGGCTGTTGTCGTGGGATGGAGCGATGCTGCTTGGGCAAATCGACCAGATGGACTATCGACTGGAGGGTATGTCATCGGAATCGCACCTGAAGATATTCTGGACGGGAAACGTACACCTGTTGGGTGGATATCTCACCGAAGCGGTAAGCTACAACGTGTGGCAAGAAGTTCGCTGGCAGCTGAGGTGCAAGCACTGACAGTCGCAGAAGACGAGCTGTTCATGGTACGAAAGATGTGGGCAGAACTGAATGGGTTCGTGTCTGATGTCGTCTCCGGGACAGCTAGCGCCGGACGAGAACTCAAGCCGATGATCGAAGGAGTTCGAGAAGTACGGGCCTGTCTCTGCGTGGACGCAAAGAGTATCTACGATTGCCTCGCCAAGCAGGTGCAAATGCAGAGCCTCGCCGAGAAGCGGACCGCATTGGAGCGAATGGCCTTCGAGCGTTGCATCGAGGAGACCGGGCTAATCGTGCGGTGGTGCCATTCGGAGGCTAACCTGAGTGACAGCTTGACGAAGGCAACGGCCTACGGACCGATTGAACTCTACATGCGTACGGGGTGCTGGGTCCTTGTCCATGACGAAGAGCAGCTTAGCGCGAAGAAACGGAAGGAAAGAGGCCTCGCAAGATTCGAAGCTAATAAGAAAGCCTTTGCCGGCCTCATCAGAGAAGCATTTAAGAACGCAGACATTTCACTACCAGAGGAAGGGAATGGTGGTGAGGAAGACAACAGGGATCAGGTTTGCGGTGAACCCCCTAACCAGAATGTCTGAGCGGCCAGAGAGCCTCGTTCTTTTTCAGATGCATGGTGCCAGATGCCGCAGACGGCACTGTGGTTTTCCAGTACCGTCAAACGCACGGTTGGACTAATGCTTGGACCCTCGACAGGAGCGGTGGCGGTAGCAGAGGCAAGAAATATTTCTGGGGGTGTAAACCCATCTGTGAAGTTGCCTGCTGCACCGCAACCGTTTGGCTCGAGGGGCCCCTTGAGCCGCCTTTTGGGCGGACATTTCACCTGATTGTACGCTCCAGAGAGCTTACTGCAACACCAAGATTTACCAGAGTAAATCCCCCGTTTATTCAGAAGCCATAGCTCTCTGGAGACGCGCACTGCTAGTTCCTAGCGCAGGGCAGGGACGGCAACGAGGCCTGTTTGTGCTGGACGTATAAAAGGAGATCTACATCATCATCAAACCCACGGACCTGTTCTACAAGACCCAATACGCTATTGAAAGAAACTCCGCGCATTCTCATACGCGAAAGAGGTTGTCAACATTACTGACGAACCCGCATCCTGGGGGCTTATTTGGGCCGAGGGCCCGAAAAGTCAATTCGGATCCCCCGTCTTGGGGGCCTCTTGGGCCGTCGTGGGCGGCTCTTCGGCCGTCTTGGGGCACCCTTGGGGGCCTCCTGGGCCGTCTTGGGGCTCTCTTGGGCCGTCATGGGGCCCCCTTGGGTACCTCTTGGGCCGTCTTGGGGACCTCTTGGGCCGTCATGGGGCCCGGCCTCTTGGGCCGTCTTGGGGCTCTCTTGGGGGCCTCCTGGGCCTTCTTGGAGCGTCGGGCAGCCGAAAAAGCGAGAAGGCAAAAAACATCGGAAAAACCAATGGAAATCAACGATTTTCGCATCATCGGGCCCTCTTGGGAGGCCTCTTGGAGGCCGCTTGGGGCGTGTTGGTGGCCTCTTGGCTCTTCTTGAAACCATCTTGGCGCGTCTTGGAGCGCTCGCGGGCTGTCTTGGGCGGTGTGGAGCCCGACCTTGTGGCCTCTTGGACGCCTCTTGGGAATATCTTGGGGCGTCTTGGGCGCTTGTTGGGCCGTCTTGTCTGACCGGGGAGGCCTCCGGCAGGCCCCGGGGAGGCTCCGGGGAGCGAGGGGGCACTTTCTAGGCAGTTGTGGCCCGTGGTGTGCTGCGGCCCCGGGGGCCCCGGGGCCAGGTTTCCGGTACATGAGAGATTTTACAATCTAAATCAGTCATATAAGGATTGAGTTTGAGGATGCAAGACCCTTAGACGCGAGCGTCCACAAGGGTACCCCTGGACCGAGGAATCAGGAAGCGTGCGAAGGAAGGCCAGAACCGAAGGACGCGCAAGGGTGCCCTTGCGAAAAAGGCCCGCCCTTCCTGCCGTTTTTGCCTGCGCTGACCAGGCAGCCGCGCGAAGAAATGGGCTGCGAGCCTGCGCCTCCCGAGCCGCAGTCGACGCCGCCGCGCTGGGGGGAACTGCTGCAGCTGCCGGCGGGCAGCGGCCGAGCACGGTGGCGCTCGGGCCGCCCGCCCGGCCCGCGCGCGGGGCGCGCGCGGAGGGCCCGGAGGCTCCGTTGGCGGACTGCCGGGGAGCGGACACGAGGACGAGGATAAGTTAGGAGGCAAGTGCTGGGAGGTTTTCGCCGGAGGGATGAAGGAGGATTGAGCCCCGATGCGGGGCTGTTGGGCCGCATTCGGCCGCAGATCGAGCGGGATGTCGGATTCAGCGGGGTTAAGCCGGATTAGGCGGGATTTCGGACTAGTGCGAAAACTGAATCTAACCTCCCAGGAGTTGCATCGTAAGACAAAATAATAGGAGGACGAGGAGGATGTAGGCGACGAGGACGAGAACGCGTAGGATGATCTGCGCACTGAGAAGGAACGTCGTGCTTGCGGGACCCTTCCCACATGTAAAAATCTGCCGCCCCCCCCCCCTGGCCTCTCAGCGAGGACACACTCCGAGATCTTTTGTAACGTCCTGGGCATAGGCGTACTTCTGATCAGTCATCGTATAGAACGGGCAGCCATAACGGCGGCGGCTCACACGATCGGGGTTGGTTGCAGGAGCGCCGGCGAGGGGGGGGTTGTTGGTCTCGGAGCATTGGTAGCACATCTCAGCGTTTGCGTCTTGTCCGGAGATGCTGAGGGTTTGGAGACCCCACTTCTTCACTGTGGCATACTGATGATGCCACGCCCCCCCCTGCTGCCCGTAGAGGACCTCGACGTAAGCGTCGTATGAATCACCCGGCCAAGCGACTTTTTCATTGCACAGGGCAGGGATCAAGTTCATAATGTTTTCGTGCTCCCAGAAAACCAAAATTATTTGCCCTGACTTCATGCCAGAGGCGTCGTGCTCCACATCCCATCGCAATCGGCTCGCCATCTGTTTGTCCTGATAATACTCCATCGTCCTGTCCCGATTACCCTTGTTCATGGAGGCCGGCGGCAACCCGCATACAATGTACTCGATCTTTAAACGCTTGTACGCCGCAATCCAAGAAGCTGTTTGGGCGGTACGTTGGCATGGTTGCCCGGGCAACCGGTAATACTGGTCCGCAACCGTGCCCCTTGGCATGTTGAGGCGTGGAAGAATGCCAAGTGCTGTCCTGATAGGGTTTTTGTAATCTTCTAAGGGACCCCCCCCCCGCTCGTCGCGCTTCGTCGGCTGAATCGGCCCTACTTTTGGGGGTCCCTGGGCGGCCATTGCATTTCCCTGGAGCTCTCCAAAGGCTCCAAAACGGCCCAGGATGGCCATCCAAGCCGCCAGCATGGCCCAACATGCCTCAAAAACGGCCGAAAATGGCTCCAAGAGAACCCAAAATTGCCCCATGACGGCCCAAAACTGCTTCAAGAGGGCCGAGAAAGCCCCCCACGACGGTTTCACAGGGCTCTACGAGGAGCCTCCGGAGGGCCCCAAGAAGCAAAAAGCAATGGATTTCCTAACGTTTTTTCATTGGTTTTTGGATCCTCACGTTTCCGGACTTCCGCTAGCTCAAGACGGCCCAAGAGGCCTCCCGGATCGCCCCAAGAGGGCCCAATCGAGCTCTAAGATGAACTAGGAGGCGTCCAACATTGCCTCAGAAAAAGCCCAAGAAGGCTCATATACGGGCCATAACACCCCAAGAGAGTTTCAAACTGGCCCACGATGGCGCCCGGAGACACCCAAGACGGCCTCTCGACAGCCCCAAAACGTCCCACGAGACCCTCCGGACGGCGAAGACGGCCCCAAGACGGCCCAAGAGAGCCCCAAGACGGCCCAAGAGGCCTAACCACTGCCCAAGAAGGCCCCAAAAGGGCTCCCATGACTGCCCCACAGGAGCCCCGGACGGTTCTCAAACCGCCCAATATGAGCTAGATCTGTAAAAGATCCTCAAGAAATGGAAACGAAAAGGCGTCTCATGTCACAGCCTTCCATTTCGTCCTCCATATCCCCAGTCCACCTGTGCGACGTTCAAGACAAAGTAGGCAAGTTGCAGCCAGTCCCAACGCTGGCCGAACGCCAGCCCAGCCTCCTCCTCCTCCTCCTCCTCCTCCTCCTCCTCCTCCTCCTCCTCCTCCTCCTCCTCCTCCTCCTCCTCCTCCTCCTCATGGTCGTCGTCGTCATCGTCATCGTCGTCATCATAAGGCCACGGACTGCTCAGATCCGTTCAGGCGCAGTGGCCTCCGCCCATTCTTCGCCTTCCTCCGCTCAGCACGCTCGCCCCAGGAGATGGCCTAGCATGGCGGTGCGGCCACGAATGCTCCTCGCGCTGCACCTTGGCATGGCATACCCCGCGTTCGATGTCGCCGACGGCGGCTACCACTCTAAGCCCATGCGCAGCACCTCGGTGGTCGGCTGGAACCCCTTTTTCAGCCTTCTCAGCCACGAGGGACGCCTGGAGGCCATCAGTACGGAGTTCCGCAACATGGACGTGATCCTCACCCCAGGCACGAAAATCAGACGCAGGGCAGGGACACGACATCATAAGGAACGGACTCAGCATCGCATATGGTTCACTTTGGATGGGCGGGAGCTGCGGGGACAAATGCTAGCGCAGGTTGCAGCATTGGATTGTCACGACGTCTCTACCGAGAGCGGAACATCCTTCGCGTCGTGTCGGCCCCACCACATCTCCAGGGACGAGCAGGCAGCCTCGACGTCTATCGTGGGCCACACTGAGTGCGCTACGTCGTCACGTATTTCCCACCGCGCCCGCACCTCGCCAAGGACCACCACTTCTGGAAGAAGACATGCCTTCAACTGTGGCGATGGATACTACATCAGTTTAAGACGACTCCCGAACGCACTGTGCCGATCATGTTCAGTGATATGAACCTCCGTTTTGGTATACATGGATCTCAATATTGCGCCGATGCTAGCATCGGCCCGTGCCAGGCCGGCCCAGAAGACGACCTCGCCCAGCGCCTTCAAACAGATATGCTTGCCCACGAGTTGTGCGCGGTCAACAGTTATTGGAACCTTGGGCCCAGCTACTACGGTGCAAAAGGATCTAACAGCCGCATCGACTATTTCGTTGCCCCTACCAGCCTCAAGCATACTACTAATCGAATGGTTATGGGCTGGCACGCGTCGCAGCGACTACGGACCCTCCCCGTCATCGGCCACGTGCCGATGATTATGGAAGTGCGCATTTCGGCACCAGAGCAGTATCGCGATCCTAACCAACCACGATGGGATTGGGGCATGCTCGCAGCTTGTTTACAGCAAGGACATCAGCGACGAGAATTCTTTCAAGACCTACGCGAACAATATGATCATCATCGAGCTCGCCTCACTCGCCTTACTGCAGATGCGAAACCGACACGACATGCAGCAGTAGTGGGATAGATCATCAAGCATACTGCCAAAAAGTACTTCGCACGAGAAAGCCACACACCTACATGGGTGACAGAAGCCAAGGCCGAACGCGCACAACTTCTCCGACAACGAGCACAACGATGTGCAGCATGGAATGGGTCTGGTGCTACAAGACGCCCCCAAAGACCAGCTACCACGGTACGAACGGATCTCCGACGAGTTTCACAACAGCTTAAATTATTCCGACGCTGGTGCAACTATTGGTGGCGTACTTCGGTGGACGATCAACTACGAGAAGCGTGGGCTGTCCGCGACCTCGCTCGTGTCGGACACCTTGCTCGCCTACGCGCTGGAACGCGCGCGGGAATCAAGAGACGAAGTTATATGTCAGTAGCCGCTGTCCGACCGCGAGGCCAAGCCTTCTTGGCCGCACTCGCCAAACCAGCTACAGAAGGAGGCATGAGCGCCACGCAGCACCCCGCCAGTATCTACCTGGAGGACGCCTACATCGAGAAGCTCTTGCTCACACCAGTGGAGGACATCGCCCAATTCGGCCCCGTTCAGTGCGGCGCCACCCAGACAGCGCGGCGCCACCCAGACCGACTTGGACAACGCCACGGAAGATCTCGGGTACATGAAGAAACGCACCTGGGCCAACAAGCACAGACGGTACAATCCTGGATGGTCATGGCCGGGTGAAATAACGCAGGTACTTTTTTGTGTTCCCATCCACGGTATTTAACTAAGCCTACGACGGAGACTATCGGCCTTGGACACGAGGGCCAACATTACCTGCAAGTTCGAAACTCGCACAAGCCGAAGTCCCTGCCCGACGCCCCCGACGCCACATCCCGCTTGAGGAAGCCCACGTCGACCATCTTCTCTTCACGTCGCTCCTGGTTCGCGTTCGCACTACGCAAACACTGCCTTCGCAAGCGGTGACGAGCCAGGTCGTAGCCATTGGGAAGAAGAACAAAGAACCTAGCGGCGACGAGATCTACGACATTAACCACTGCCTCCGGCTCCTGCACTGTTTCTGCCACTGGTGGCGCATCTACCTCCGCGTGGGCCTCTGCGACTACGGGGGGCATTTCGCTGCCCCAGCCTGGGGCTACGGAGGCATTCGACAACGACGACGAGAAGAACTCATGCTCCTGGTCAAAGTAGCTATGTGGCGATTGCGTGCGGAGCATCGCAACTTCATTGTCAAATTCTAAGACATGCGCAACGCCTTCGCCACGGGGGACCACTCCACGTTGTTCCAGGCCCACTATGATCGCACGGACGACGAGTACTTCGACGACCTCCTCACCCAACATCGAGAACGCGCAGTTCTCGCGATCGAAGCCAGCGACGCCCACGTTTCAGCACGGCCAACACCAGGGGGCGAATGGGCGATAGCAACGAGCCCGAACTTTTCATGGCGGCGTTCTATCGAGGTGTCGAAGCATGGCTGGACGAGACCACGGAGCTGACCAATAATGACCTGACGGCGGAGTGCCCCATCACGCACACGACCCAGCAGATCTCCATGGGTGCCTTCATCGACGACCTCATTCGTATATACGCGCTACCCGAAGGCCTACCACATGCGCGATGGGCGCTTGCCGTCGACGACCTGGATAACATTACGCTTAATAAAAAGTACATTCATATGACTGGCCATCGCCAGAACATCGACAAGCAAGACACCCTCGTCTACACCACCAATGCCCGTGTCACTCGCGACATCGAGCACCGCATCGCAGGCACCAAAGTCTACAATCTTATCCACCTCGGCGGCCTCATCTCTCCCACGGGCTCCAACTATGCTGAAGTTCGTGCACGTATTCAGTCAGACGCAGTGGGGTGGACGCGGCTGGGGAACTACTGGCTGTGCCCTGGGCCATGGAAGTACAAGCGCAGCACCTCCATCACCAACGTGGCTGGGCGCGCCTGGTCTGCTCTCGAATCGTACGTGCTCACCCCCACCGAGTACAACAAGCTTGACGTGTGCCTCGCCCCCAAAAAATGCGTGCTATGCTGTTGGGAAGAGCTCATCAATAAAGAGACGACGGAACACATCGCAGCTGGAAGACGGCTCAAGTATTTCGCGAATGGCAACTCGCACCGACCGCAGCGGAGCTAATGATCAGGCGGCTTAACTGGTGGAAAATTATCTTCAATGGCCCGGACAATCACGCTCCATTCTTGGCGGTTTTTGTTCGGCGACTACACCTTTGAGATCAATGCCAGAGCCGACGGTCGCCCAGCCTCGTCGCCACCACTGCGACACGACCGACTACCAGCCGATGCAGGTGTACATCCATGGGCGGCCCAACTGCATCATGACCTACACCAACTACGGGACCACCCCGCGGGAGCCACTTTTCAGGAGGAATGGGACCCTCCGACTATGGAAGCACTATTCCGTGACGAGCATGTACGCCAGGCTTTTTTAGCATGTGATATGCACGTTTTCCGCAGCACGTACGTGAGCAGCCAGTGGGCCCCAAGTGGCCAGATGGCTAACGATGTGCCCTCCGTTGATCAGGAGATCAGCGATACGGACAGCGAGATCGAGCTGTTAGCCCTGTTTCGATGCACAGTCGGAAAATGTAAAGCGAGGTTCCCTACCGTCCATCGTCTTGCTACTCATCAGACCCACTCGTCTGCGCCTGGTCACGGGCGTACTACCATTATCAATGCCATCACCATAGACAATATGTGTCTCAGCTGCTCTACAGTATTCTCATGCGTCGATCACTGCCAACATCATCTTCAAAGGTCCGGGAAAGCTAATAGATGCATCCCCGAACCAACTCATCACCTGTACGAATGGAAACCGTCGGGTGCGACTCGATGCCCGTTAGCGAATATCAGCGACAAGCCCGAGCGTCACGAGATGTATCACGATCCTCGCGAATTTTGAAAGCACCTTGCCGATCACTCAGAAGCTGCAGTTGAAGACCGTGGACAGCCCGACCGCCAGCCTGGCGCTACGCCTCGTCGAGACGATGTGCTCGCTCGAAATCGGCGGCGGCAACAAGAACATGCTCCACGACTACCTGGACAAGGCCCAGCCGAGCGAAGACAAGGCCACCGAGGTCAAGAAAGAAATGCTAGAGAAACAGGTCACGATGATCAAGATCGAGAAGTGCAACGACGAAATGACGAAGCTGCTGGTCGTGACGCCGCGCTGGACCCTCCGCACCGACCTCATCACCTCAATCACAGCCGAGGGGAATATCAAAAGCCACCTGGGGATCACCCCGCCTGGGTGGCTGGAGGAGGAGCTGAGCCTGTGGCTAGACGCGTTAGCCAGCGAGTGATTCGGTTCGTGCCAGGGGAAATTCTGGCCAGCACGATCCCCGCTCCTCCTCCCGAGCCTCCCCCTCTCTCGAGTTCCGACCCCGACGACCCCGAAACGGGACCGACCCAGGAGGCCCGAGGAAGTCTCCCAGACGACGAGGAAGCCGATCTGAAGGCTGCCGAGTTTTTGTTTCGCTAAACTATGTCGCCGTGGGGCACGCTAGGCCCTGTAGCACGCGCTAGAAAGAGCACCGTGCCAGCACGCCACACGCAGTAAGGACTTTTATTTTGCGGGTTCCAGGTGTTTTCATGCTGTAAACTACCTCGAACCCCGAGTTGTGTGCATGCACGCAGTCACCGTTCGTAACATCATAGCCCCTCATGCTGATGAAAAATCGTCGTCATCATCACCAGCAACATTGTCATCAGCATCATCATAATCACTATCATTCGAACAGCCGCCACCTACGGGACTGGGCTGGCACGGTGGCGGAACTTGCCACAGGCAGCTGGATAATTGAAGGAATAAATCTTGAATATATCCCAATTCTTGAACTTCTCGGCGTACTGAAAGGCCCTGTTCCACCCGCACTCGTTCAAACAACTTGTTTCCCCCCAACGTTCGCCGTGCCGTATGACATAGATTTTTTTCCAGGGAGTCTGGGCCGCGGAGGAATTGCTGAGGGCCGTGGCCTTTAGGACCAAGGGAAAACGACTCCAACACCACCAGGGACAACCAGCGCGAGGAGCCGGAAAGGGTCGCCCTGGTGGTCTGGTCCCCCTTTCGCTTGAGACATCCCCAATCCCCAGCTCGAGGAGGCATCGTGGACCCCCTCGCTGGAGGTGGCCTCCCTGGCGGCGTTGGTGTCGCTTCTCCTTCCCCCGAGCCTTGTGCTGGAGCAGGCTACCTTCTTCCGGCGCGTCCGCGGTGCAGTCGACGCTGGCATCATCGCAATGGACGGCCTGCGCAGCGACGGCGTCGCTGTCTGCGGCCGCGCGGTCGGACAGTGTCACACACGCAAGCACCGCGACAAGCCATGCGGCACGACCGCGCACCATTGCTCACTCTACTGAGCGCCCGATGCAAAATCGCTGGATACATTGCCGATAAGAGTGAGGGGGCGGGCGGGAGCGCGATGGAGTGGGGAGCAGTGCCGAGGAGCGCCAAGGAGTCCGGAGGATTGGGGATGAGCGCCGAGGATTGCGATGGCGCGGGGGGGAGTGCCAAGGAAAGCCGAGGAGTGCCATGGAGTGCAAACGAGGTGGAGTGCCGAGGAGCGCGATGGAGCGGGGAGGAGTCGGGATGCGGGTGGAGTGGGGAGGAGCGCCGAGGATTGCGACGGCGTGGGGAAGAGTGCCGAGGAGTGCGATGGAGGGAGAATGAGAAGGAGGGCTGAGGAGCGCGATGGAGTGGGGAGGAGTTGGGAGGACGGAGGAGGCGGGAGGAGTGCCGAGGAGATTATATCATATTTTTCTTTCCTCGTCTCTCATTGCGACCCCTGCTGCTCCACATCACCTCTTTCGAGTCCTCCGTCCCCGGGGCCCCCCCTCGCCTCCTGATGCCTCCAAAAGGCCCCAGAAAGAACTACCACGAGATTCCAGCGAACACTCGAGAGCCCTCTGACCCACAACCCAGGCACGGTGGCGGGATGGGCCGAAGGCCATTATATCCGCCGCCCCCTGCTTGCAGGGGTGCACTGCGTGCTGGATGTTTCAGGTTTTGGTTTTGGTTCTTTTTCTAAAAGAACTTCCCAGTGGGCTCCGGCAGAACCCGCCGGCCACCCGGAATTTCCCCAAACGTGCTCAACGAGCGCAAAAAATCCTCCAAGAACGGCCGTTTCGCTCGGGACATCCTCAAAAAATCGCGAAGATGGCCCAAGATGGCCTCCAAGTCCGCCCGAGATGGTCCAAGACGGCCTCCAAGACGGCCCAAGAGAGTCCAAGACGGCCCAAGACGGCCCAAGAGGCCCCCCAGAGGCCTCCCAGACGGCCCAAGAGGCCTCCAAGAGGTCCTCCAGGAGAGTCCGAAGAGGCCAAAATCATTGATTTTCCCTTGGTTTTTGAAGGATTTTGGCATTTGCGCCTTTTCGGCTCTCCGACGGCTCAAGACGGCCCAAGAAGCCCCCAAGATCGCCCAAGAGGCCCCCAAGAGAGCCCCCTGATGGCCCAAGTGGCCTCCAAGATGGCCCCTAGAGGGCCCCAAGACGGCCCAAGAGGCCTCCAACACGCCCAAGATGGCCTCCAAGACGCCCAAGATGGCCTCCAAGACGGCCCTGGAGCGCCCCAAGAGGGTCCCCCGTTGGCCCAGAAAGGCCCCCAAAACGGCTCCCGACGGCGTCAGACGTGCCAGGAACCCACCAAGATGGCCGAAGTTGGCTCGAAGCTGGCCCAAAAGGGCCCAAGAGGCCCCCAAGAGGGCCTCCAGGAAGGCCAAAAGATGCCAAAATCACTGATTTTCCCAAGGTTTTTGATGGATTTGGGCATTTCCCTTTTTTCGGCCTTCCGACGGCCCGAGACGGCCCAAGAGCCCCCAAAGATCGCCGAAAGATCGCCCAAGAGGCCTCCAAGACGGCGACGATGACCATCAAGACGCCCACGTGTTCCCCGAAGGCTTTCCAAACCGATTCGGGGAACACATGGTCCGATGGCTTGGCAGGTCTGGCCTCAACGTTCGGCCACATAGGCGCTTCCACAAAGGCAGGGGGCGGCGGTGATTCGCCGTAGGCGTCTTCGATACACCACGAACCCATAAAGAAACAATGAATATCCCAGGGGCCCCAGCGGGGACCCAGCGGGCACCCAACGGGAACCCAGCGGGAACCTAGCGGGACCCTTGATCGAGGGAACTTAGCAGGAACCTAGCGGGAACTTAGCGGGAACCTAGCGGGAAATTAGCGGGAACCTGGCGGGAACTTAGCGGGAACCCAGCGGGAATTCTGGGAGCTGTATAAAGGGAACCGATGGATTTTTGCCTGGATCTGGAGTCTCCGGACCTACATCCTCTGGGCTTAAACTCTCCGGACCCAAAGTCTCCGGACCCAAAGTCTCCGGACGTCGGTTCTCAGGACCTACATGCTCCGGATCCAAATCCCAGCGGGAACCTCGGGGAAATTTCGAACTCGAAGAATAATCCTTCGAGAGTCGGGACCCGCACTCGATAAGTGCGTATATACACAATGTTGTCTATACGTAGATATGCTATATAGCAAATTTATCAAGTGCGCGGGGAGAGCGCGATCATGATAACGCGCGTGTGTTATAACGGACGCTGTGCCCGAACGCGAGATGATGTAACTATAAATGCATCATGACACACAATGACCACGGTGTTTTATGTTGAAGAAACCGTGACGTTTGTTACGATGACATGCTAACAACAAAACTGCGTCGTTTTTTGCTATAGAACTGCGTCGCCTTATGATAAAAACTGCGGCGAAATATGTTTGGAAATTGCGTTGTTTATGTTAACATAAAAGACACCAAGATCATTAGCGCAGATTATCTGCATCGATTACCCTCTGGGTAGGCACCCGGAGGTCCCAGGAGATTTTCATTTGTTCGTCTATTTTTCGTTGAGTGTTTCGGTCTCCGGAGGGTCCAGCACCGATCCAAGAGATCCGCGCGGACCTCCGAAAGTTATGTTTACGGCATGTTGTTTTTCCTCGAGGTACGAGGTGTCCACGTCCGCCGGGCCGCGGGACGCCCACTCCGGGCACCAGAGGAGCTGGTTCGTGCAGCACCACTCCTTTTTAGCGGCGGTCCAGCCCTCCTCCCAGTCCCACAGCCCCTCGCCGCAGTCGTAGGGCTCTGACACACCATTCTCTGGAGCCTTAGCCCTGGGGGCGCCCATGGTGCCCGCCTGGGTCGGCTGCCCCGCCCCGGCGCCCTTCCTGTTAGGGATAAGGGAAAGCGACACCACCACCGCCAGGGACCGCTGGCGCGAGGAGCCGGGGGGGGGTCCCCCTGGTGGTGCGCCCCCACCCCTCTCGCGCAAGTCGCTCCCCATCCCCAACTCTGGGAGGCATCGTGGACCTCCTCGCTGGAGGTGGCCCCCCTGGTGGTGGTGGCGTCGCTCCTCCTTCCCCCAATCCTGTCTGCCCCGCCGTGGATCGAATGCGCGGCCTGCAACAACCCGGCCTCCTCGAGGTCCTCCGCGGCGCACCGGCCGGATTCGCCCCTGGGGCACGCGCCCTCGCTGCTCCGCGACGGGGCCGCGAGCGCGGAGGCGGCCAGGGCCACAAGCGCAATCGCCGCCGGGGCGCGCATCGCTGTCCCGCGTGCGCTGTTGAGCAGGCGGCGATTGAGCCAGACCCTCGAGCCAGGATCGCGCCCCTGTCCCTGCACACCCCACTCGACGAGATGGGCGCCCCAGTTGTCACTGAGGCCACTCGCGGGCAGCGACGCATGCAGCACGTGCTTGACAAGCTCCGCTAGCTCGTGCTGGTAGCCATCGAAGTCGAGGGCCATGTTGAGGTGCGTCTCCTCTCCCCATCGCAGACTGCAGTACGTGTTCTTCAGGAAGGTGGCCATGGCGTCGCGGCTGTGGAAGTGCACAGGGGCGCCGGCCTTATTGCGCAGCTGCGTATGCTGGACCCAGAGGCGGTTGGCCTTCGGCCCGAGCCGGCATGTGTGGTGGACCAGCCGGGAGAGGTCAGCGTGCGACGTCCGCCGAAACTCTAGCCCGTTCGCCAGTATGGGCGGCGAAGGTTTGCGTGGGGGCATCGCCCACTACGCGCCAGGAGTCTGTGCGGTCACCCCGTGCTCTCGCGCCGCCCGCACTGGATCGGGGAGGCAAGTATGAGAGGGCGGGGGTCCTCGGGCGTGCTGCGGAGGAATTCCTTTGTAATCCTGTGCGGCAGACGCGCCCGCCGCAGGCACGTCCGGACCCTGGGGCATGGGAATATCAAAGGCCCGGTGGGCACGCTCCAGCATCTCCCGCCTCCTGCCGTCGTCGTCCCGCCTGGACTAAAGGATGTCCAGGACCACGTTCTTCACGGCGGTCAAGGTCTCCTCGGAGTGCGGACATAAGTATACCTCCTTCAAGTCGTCGTAGCCGTATTCGGACACGGCGGCCAGCGCGGCCCGTGCGAACAGCGCGAGGGAAGTCCTCCCCGCACCTCATCTCCTCCGATGATGGGCACGGCCAGGCCTGCAACCCCTTGCTTCCGCGCCGCTGCGAGGATGTTGCGGTAAGCGTGGAAATTCTTCGCTGGGCATGCTCCGGCTGGCTGCCAAGGTCGGGAAGCAGGGAGTGGATGATGCTGTGTGCAGGGGGCCCACAAGCAGGCGTGCAGAAGGCATGGGCGCGGCCTGCTTGTATGTGGAGAGTGGCCCGATCGGCCCGAACGTCCCAAAGCAGCTGCGAGCCCCCGAACTTGTCCACCGCCCACAGCACAATGTTGTCCGTCTCCCAGCCTCGTAATTCCCCATCCCAGCTCACGACTTCGTTCACCACGGTGGCGATGGCGGCATCAGGGCAGTCGAAGCGAGACGGGGCCATCAGAGATCCAAACATCTCGGGGACTGTAGCATGCTGAAGAGAAGGAGGGTGTCCAGGCCGTGACTGTGGCGCCGGTCCCGCGCGGGCTCCAGGACCATGGACACATCCACCACATCGATCCTTTCCGCTGATTACTGGGCTTCATCGAACACCTCCTCACCTACGTGCCCCGCGGTCCAGGTGGCCTGGTCCTCGCTCCAGTCAACGTCCACGACGCCCTGCTTGGGGCCATCTTGAGGCTCTTCACCCTCTTCTTTCGCGGCGACTGCGCTGGAGCCAGCCTTGTCCTGCATCTTAGGTGTGGCCTCCTCGCGCCGTCCCCCCTCGGCGCCACGGGGTACTGGCTTGTCGCCCGTCCCTTCCCATGTGGTGCCCGCGTCGCTGGGTACTCCATCCTGCACATTTTGCCCGCACTTGGGACAAATGCCCCCCCCCCCCCCCCCCCCCTGTGCCGCCCTGCATGGGGCCACCACATTCCTCCTATACACCGCGAGCCTCGCTCTGGAGACCTGCAGCTCGCGCGACCTGGGCCCATGGGGCCCAGGGCTTGCAGTCCGCTTCTCGGGGTGGGCCAGCTGCCTGTGGAGGCTCCTTCTCCATCTCTGCTGTAGCCGTAGCCGCCGCATGGTCGAACCGTCGGTGCGTTCTGGAAGCAGGGCGCGCGGTCGCAAAATGCGTAAAACGTAACAGCCCATCCTTGTTCCGATTGCACAATA